TGTTGGTAGAAGTGAGGTAGAACCTTTTTTAGTCTGGCCGTGTTAAAGTCTCCACCCATAAGAAACGCCGCCTCTGGGTGTGAGGTTTCTTGTTTGTTTACAGCAAGTGATGTTGGCTTGTGGTGGGATGTAGACAGCCATGATAATTACAGATGAGAACTCTCTTGGTAGATAAAAAGCTCTGCAGCTTACCATGAGGTATTCTATGTCAGGTGAGCAAACACTCAAGATTTCCTTCACACTGGATGCAGGGAACCAGTTGTTTTTTATGAGGAAGCACACCGTTCCCCCTTTGGACTTGCCCGCGGCCGCCATCCAATCGTGACGTTGCATGGAGAAACCACTGAGTTGTATATCCATAGATTCAGTCAGCCAAGTTTCTGCAAAGCATAGAATATTGCAGCTTTTCAAGTCTCTTTGACAGGAGACTCTCAAACGAATCTCATCCATCTTATTCTCGAGTGACTGGATATTTGCACATTAAAATGCAGTAACCCATGGGGAGGGGGTCACACTCGGACAATCAGAGAGGGGGCATATTATTGTGACCCTGGTGGCACAAAATAATCAAAGGTCTGACTGCACGGAGACGCTTTGGAAAAATGGTTACCACGGGGGACCAGTGTTTGTGTCTCAGGGGAAGAGGGTGGATCTGATCTCCATCACCTAGGACTTGACATAGATTAATCAAATCTCACATTGTTGTCAATTTTTGCTCAATCTTGCATGCTTTCTCAAACAGCTGTAACTGTATATGCATTCGTAAATCAGGTCCTTTCTTGAATTGGGCTCTGGGATGTAACAACCGTTGAGCATCTGATCTTATGGTTGATTGTGGAGGAAAGGGGTTGAGTGTGTTAGAGTATGTGCGTGTGTGTGTGTTTATCCCACATCTGTTGCAAGGGGGTAAGGATGTTAGGGAGAATATAGGATGAACCACAATAATTGTTTGCTAAAATAATAATTGCTTGACAAAAATGTAATGTAATACAATGGAAATCCGGGTTATAGGTAACAATCCTACGCATGAACTGCCAACATTATAACGCATATTAATTGATAATGATGGAAATTAAGATATGCAAGATATTTGAATAGATATATATTTTTTAATAGCAAATGCAAATCAATTTATAACATTTTTGACGTGTTTTTCTGGATTTTTTTGTTGTTATTCTGTCTCTCACTGTTCAAATAAACCTACCATTAAAATTATAGACTGATCATGTCTTTGTCAGTGGGCAAACGTACAAAATCAGCAGGGGATCAAATACTTTTTTCTCTCACTGTATAATGAAACATAGATTTGAAACTTGTGTCTCATTATGGTATGTGGTGAAATAAGTATAGCCAGTTATAATTGTAATGGCTTAGCAGATAATAACAAAAGAATAACAATATTTACATGGCTCAAAGAGGAATATAATATCTATTGTTTACACGAAACTCATTCAACAATTCTAGATGAAGTTGCGTGGAAAAAGGAATGGGGGGGGGGGGGGGGGGGGGGGGGGCGAAATATACTTCTCCCATGGGCAAAGAAACTCAAAAGGGGTGATGATATTAATTAACAGTAATTTCGATCCGAATGTACAAATTGTCCAAACAGATCCGCAAGGTAGATGGATTATTTTAAATATGTTATTGGACCATAAACAGATATGGCTCATTAACCTTTACGGACCAAATAATGATGATCCACACTTCTTTGACAATATATATAATAAATGATCAACCCTGCAAGCAATACAAGACTCTATTATTATGGTGGGAGATTATAATACCGTTTTAATTAGCTCAATGGACCGTAAAGGAAATCACACTACAAACTCTCACCCTCATGCTCTTAAGGAAATCGTGAATGTCATGGATGCATTAGAGCTAGTAGATACATGGAGGCTTAAATATCCTGATCTAGTGAGATATACATGGCGGAGACTCAATCAAGCTAGTCGTCTTGACTTCTTTCTCATGTCATTCTCGTTGGCACCAAAAGTTTAAAAAGTGTTGATAGGGGACAGAATGCAGTCGGACCATCATATAATTGGAATATACATTACTCTCACTGAATTTCCACGTGGGCGAGGATATTGGAAATGTTATCAAAGCCTATTGGATGATAACTTGTTTTTAACTAGGACAGAGGAATTTATAACTGATTTTTTCCGACATAACATAGATTGAGCAAATCCCCTTATTGTATGGGACACTTTTAAATGTGACTTTAGAGGCCATGCAATTCAGCACTTATCTTCAAAACAAAAGCAATTTAGGTCAAAAGAGTCCATACTAACAAAGGAAATAGGTCTAACAGAACAGATAGATAGCAATAAAAACTGTAACAGAGGTTCAGAATAAATTAGAAAAAGAAATGAAGAAACTTATTCAAGAAAGATCAAGTGTAATATATTATAAAAATAAAGCAAACTGGATTGAATATGGGGAAAAATGCACCAAATCATTTTTTAATCTTCAACAAACAAATGCTACCAAAAATAATTTACTGAAACTGGTTACAAATGATGGAGTCACCCATGATTCACCAAATTATATTTTGAAGGAGGAAGCAAAGTACTTTAATCATATGTTTTCGTTTCAGTCGCCTCCATCTCCTCTAACTGAAGCTAATTGTAGAGATTTATTTTCTATTGATAATGTAAAATTAACAGCCATACAGAAAGACTCATGTGAAGGTGAAATTACAGAGGAGGAACTTCTGGATGCAATTAAAGACTTTAAGTCCGTGAAAACTCCAGGGTTGGATGGCATACCAGTTGAGGTATACCAAACCTTTTTTGATATACTCAGAGGACCGTTATTAGCATGTTTTAACCACTCCTATGTAAATGGTAGATTATCAGACACTCAAGAAGAAGGCCTGATTTCATTATTACTGAAACAGTATACAAGTGGAAAATATAAAGATCCAGTCCATTAAAAAAAATTGGAGGCCCCTTACACTTCAGTGTTGTGATGTAAAAATTATATCAAAATGTATAGCGCATAGAATTAAAAAGGTATTGTCGGACATTATTCATTCTAATCAGACAGGTTTTTTACATGGGAGATACATTGCCGATAATATAAGGCAAGTACTGGAAACAATAGAACATTATGAAAAATCTGGGAAACCACACCTGCTATTCATAGCAGACTTTGAAATTTGATAAAGTACGACTGGAGTTTATATATAAATGCCTGGAGCATTTCAATTGTAGAGAATCTCTTATAAAATGGGTTAAAATCATGTATAGTAATCCTAGGTGTAAAATAGTAACTAATGGCTATTTCTCCTAAAGTTTTAAACTGTCACGAGGAGTGAAATAAGGTTGTCCACTATCGGCATAACTATTTATTATGGCCATCGATATGTTACCTATTAAAATTATATCCAACAATAATATCAAGGGATTAGAAATCCAGGGCTTAAAAACAAAGGTGTCATTGTACGCTGATGATTCATGTTTTCTTTTAAATCCACAACTTGAATCCCTCCACAGCCTCATAGAGGATCTAGATACATTTTCTAACCTCTCTGGATTACAACCAAATTATGATAAATGTACTATATTACGTATTGGATCACTAAAAACTAAAAAATTTACATTACCATGTAGTTTACCAATAAAATGGTCTGATGGTGATGTGGATATACTCGGAATACATATCCCAAATAAAATAAATGATCTCACTCCGATAAATGTTAATAGAAAGTTAGCAAAAATAGATAAGATGGAAAGGTAAATACCTGTCAATTTGTGGAAAAATCACCCTGATTAACTCTTTAGTATTATCCCAGTTTACCTATTTGCCTATGGTCTTGCCTACGCCTAGTGAACAGTTTTTTAAATTATATGAGAAAAATATATTCAATTTTATTTGGAACGGCAAGCCAGACAAAATTAAACGGGCCTATTTATATAATGATTATGAATTCGGAGGACAGAAATGATTAAATATTAAAGCATTAGACCTATCACTAAAAGCTTCAGTCATACAAAAGTTAGACTTAAATCCGAACTGCTTCTCTAGCAAATTAGTAAGATTGTCTCCCCCAATGTTCAAGAATGGCCTTTTTCCCTTTATTCAGATTACAACCTCTCACTTTCAGTTATTGAAAAGGAAATAATCTCCCAAATATCACTATTTCTAAAACAAGCCATAGAAAGTTGGTTGCAATTTCAATTTAATCCTCCAGAAACGACAGATAAAATAATCCAACAAATATTGTGGTTAAACTCAAATATACTAAATGATAAAAAAAGCATTATTTTTTGAGAAATTTTTTAAAAAAGGTATAATCTTCGTAATTTATATAATAGGTAGGACTGGTGGAGTTATGTCGCACATGCAGCTAACAAAAACATTTGGAAATGTCTGCTCTACCCAAAATTACAACCAAATAATTGCAGCATTACCGCAAAAATGGAAGAGGAAAGTGGAAGGGGGAAAAAGTAAGGAACTTGTCTGTCGGCCCTGCATTAAAGAATATAATTGGTTAAAGAAAATTGTGATAAATAAAAAAGTATACCAGTTTCATTTAAGGACCAAAGGATTGACAGCCGTCCCATATAGATTGCAAAATAGTTGGGAAGAGATTTTTTACATACCGATTCCATGGCATAGTATTTATGAACTGATATGCAAAACGACGCCGGATTCAAAGCGTATAATTTTTCAATTTCAATTATTATACAAAATTCTTGCTACCAATAGAATGTTATTTATATGGGGGATACAATCTTCCTAGCTCTGCAGATTTTGCTGCGAAGAGACAGAATCATTAGATCATTTGTTTTGTCTCCTAGAGATGAACATACTTTAGGAGAACCCTTTGAAAAACCAGTTTTGGTTCCAGGTAGAACCCTTTTGGGTTTCATCTAGAACCCTTTCCACAGAGTGTTCTACATGGAACCCAAAATAGTTCTACCTGGAACCAAAAAGGGTTCTCCTATGGGGACAGCCGCAGAACCCTTTTGGAACTCTTTTTTTTCTAAGAGTGTACTTTTATTGAACATAACACCAAGAAGTAGGGAATTCATGACACTTTCACTCAATAAATGTATTAACAGGAAAGATGACATGCTCCAGACAAAGTTTCGGAATAGACATGGGTGTCACAGACATCACTGCCACCATTGGAGCTGAGAATTTCCACACCAATAGACAAAACAATAGACAGACAAAGTCAATACCCAGGAGTCACCGTGACAGACTTTACCAATGCAGACACTTCGGTATTTGATCGTAAAGTAGTATCACCAGATAATATCCTTAGTGAGCAGGTGTCACAGTCACAAACACCTTCTCAGGGCAGATACTCAGTACTCCAGGGTTAGTGCCATCAGAGTTCAGACAGGGAGAGAAGTAGGGGAACAGTCTCTCTGTGAAACTCTGTTCGAACGTATAGATGAGTGACATGTCACTGGAGTCATAGAAGGACAGCTCTCCTTTCTCATAGTCCAGCTTGACCCTGACCTTCTGGGGTTTCCTACTCAGGACCAAAGGAGTACCCAGGGGGGCGGTTCCGGCGCTATACTCCACCCCATTCCATAGCCTCATCGCCCAGATCCCACCATCTGGGCTGACCATCACATTGCCCTTCCTGGATACGCCCTCTTTGGCCACGCCCAGGGTCCAGGCCTTCTTAGGCCCCACCTCCACCTCCCAGCTGTGAATGCCTGAGTAGAAGCCTTCAGAGCCCAGCACGCTCACTGAGCTGTCAAATCGCTCAGCGTTATCAGGCACAGGCTGGGATGCCCGTCTGTCACTCACCTCCAGGAGGAACCCAGAGATCAGTAGATCAGGGTGGGCTGAATTCACATCCAGGGTCACAGGGGCTGGGACAGAGGGAGTGGACAGGTTAGTTGGCCACCAGGTCAGATACATGGATGGTTAGTACACTGTATTTTGGCTGTATGAACAGAACATGTGTCAGCAGTTTGTCGTTCAAGAATCAGAACATTAATACTTTTTTTGTCAGGAATCAGACTAGCTCAGAAAGGTTCAAGGCTATGAAAGACTGACACTGGAGCATGGATATTGTACTATACTGTTTAGTAACTGATCACTGTGCTACGTCATTTAAGCAAGCCAATGATTAACCTCAAATATATGGACAGTTGCTTATAAAACTTTGTGTACTCACTGTATTGCACCATCTCCTGCATCTTCTTCCAGACCTTGAACCTCAGGTTTCCCAAGTGTTGGGCCACGTCTATCAGTGCCCCCTTTACAGGCTCTGGATCCTGCAATCTACACTTGGCCCTGAAATGACAGACAGTACAGACATTTTATGATAATAGTGTTGGCGACTGATCAGATACTTGACTAATGATGATCATTGTAATGTTGCATACCTGTCTTTCAAGTCCTTGTACATCTGAAACAAGAACACATGTGGACCTCAGTACAGACTAATATGTTTGTTTGAGAAAGCCTCAGTATATCGAACAGTTGTGACATGCAAAATAAAGTGTGAGATGGACCTGCAGAAATGAGATGTCATCTGTCTTCATCTTGGTCTGTATGCCTGCGATCCTCCCGGAGAGTGAGGCCATGTCACTGGCAAGACGGGTGATCCTCTCGGTCAGTAACCCTGTCTTCATCCCCTCCTCCTGTTTCAAAGCTGCCAGTCTGACCTCCTCTTCCACTCTCAGGAACTGGTGGAGCTTCGCAAACTCACTCTTGATCTGTCCTGCTGTGGTTTGGGCCTGGGTCTGGCAGATGGATCAGTACAGTAAGATAGACACGTACCTATGTATTATCTATGTAATATCTTTGTAGTAGGCCTACCTTTGTAATATTGTGTAATTTAGCTAGTGATATACCTTGATGTATTGTGCTGCATGCGCTCTTGAGGCTCTCGCTTGCTTTATGTCCAGTTCCAGTTTCTCAGGAAGGTTGTAGAGCAATGAAGTGAGTTCCCTCTGGGTAGTATCATGGAAGAGAGTGGGGATAGTGGTGGAGAGGTAGGGAGGGGTTGCAGTAGAACAAGGATGGATCAAAGTAAAAATAGTTTAGATTTGGTTTCTCAGCTATTCTGTATTGGTACTTTTATCTAATACCAAAGGCAACTCGGTTAGCAAGAGGAAAAGACTGCAAGTAGATCTGTATTCCAGCTATAGCACAGTACCTTACGCCACTGCGCTTCCTCCTTCACTGGCTGGTGTTTATGCTTGGCATGCCACTCGGTCTCCACACACACAGCACAAACAAGATCCTCACATTCCTCACAAAACAACCTGAGCTTCTTATTATGCCTGGCGCACACCACAAGACCCACTGCTCTTCCCTCACTCCCCTCCTTCTCTTCTCTTTGCAGGTAGGCCTCCACTATGTTTCTCAGTTTCATATTGGACATGGCGGGCTGGATATTGTCTATGGAATGCCTTCGCCTGCAGACAGGGCACTCACGCTGCTTTTGTTGAATCCATCTTGGTGTTTCCAGGCAGCTGCGGCAGAAGCTGTGTTGACATTTCAGACTCACTGGGTCCTGGAAGAACTCAAAGCAGACGGGACAGCTGAGCTGGTCCTCCATAGCTGCTGTAGGTCCCTGCTGGGCTATCCTCTTCCTCAGATAAAGTTAGGTAAAGGCCTTTCTCTTCAGAATACAGTATGAAATAGCATTATAACCGTGTCCTTTATCCCTTTCTATCTCCTCTTCACCAACCCACTACAGGGAAGTTAGGTTTATAATGCTATCTATTAACATTTAGGCCCTACCTGTGATCAAAGTTTATCCAGCTTATCCGATTCATTCCAGGACAGAGGTCATGTAAGATAGCAATTAAGTCATTCCTTTGCCACATGTTGTTGTATCTCAAGTACTGTTAATGTCTCAGTCTTTCAACAACAAAACCCCAACAGAAACAGCCAAAATAGCTGTCATATGTAAAAGATACAAGGTACACAGCAGTTTAGATACCTGGTATCTGCAGTCTTGTAAGAATGTTTGATGAAAAAAAGGTTTTAGGACTTATTATGTTATGAGACGTATCACAATAATTACTGACTGCCATTGATTTGACATTGATGTGCTAACAGCCTCAGCCATAATTGCCAGTCTGACACATTGTCAAATCAACTTCAAAAAGCTGATACTCTAAGAGGTGATTCTGGTCTACTGTGATTGGCTATAAATCACATGGATTTTGAGAGCAGAACCAGTTAAATAATTTTGTCCACCCAGCACCATCTGAACTGCAACCAGACATAACAGGCCCCCGTCAGGCTCAAAGTAGCCTCACATGTCAGCAGACCCTCAGCTGGTGATTATTATATATTCTGCATATACTGAGCAAAAATATAAACACAACATGCAACAATTTCAAAATGTTTACTGAGTTACAGTTCACATAAGGAAATTAGTCAATTGAAATGAATTCATTACGCCCTAATCAGTCGATCCCACAGGTGAAGAAGCCGGATGTGGAGGTCCTGGGCTGGCGTGGTTACACGTGGTCTGCGCTTGTGAGGCCGGTTGGGCGTACTGCCAAATTCTCTAAAACGACGTTGAAGGCAGCTTATAGCAGAGAAATTAACATTAAATTCTCTGGCAACAGCTCTGGTGGACATTCCTGCAGTCAGCATGCCAATTGCATGCTCCCACAAAACTTGAGACATCTGTGGCATTGTGTTGTGTGACAAAATTGCACATTTTAAAGTGGCCTTTTATTGTCCCTAGCACAAGGTGCACCTGTGTAATGATCATGCTGTTTAATCAGCTTCTTGATATGCCACACCTGTCGGGTGGATGGATTATCTTGGCAAATAAGAAATGTTCACTAACAGGGATGTAAACAAATTTGTGCACAACATTTGAGAGAAATAAGCTTTTTGTGCATATGGAACATTTCTGGGATCTTTTATTTCAGCTCAAGAAACATGGGACCAACACTTTACATGTTGCCTTTATATTTTTGTTCAGTGTAATATATTGTTTGCCATTTACCAGACGCTTTATCCAAAGCAACTTCAGTCATGCGTGCATACACTTTACATATGGGTTGGCTCACAGAGATAACAACTGACACTGACATTGTCCATAGTGTATCAGCAATACCAAGGTGCCATAACATTACTTCAAAAAGTGTAATTAGATCGGAATATAACTCTTTGTATCTGACATTCAGTTGTGAAAGCTGTCAAAAGGGGGTGGTAAAGGACTGCTATATTATTGTAGTCAATCACAAGGGATGATGACTTGGGCTCATACAGGTAACTGCCAAAATAAAGGAAACACCAAAGTGTCTTAATAGGACATTGGGCCACCACGAGCCAGAACAGCGTCAATGCACCTTGGCATAGATTCTACAAGTGTCTGGAACTCTATTGGAGGGATGCTACACCATTCTTCCATGAGAAATTCCATAATTTGGTGTTTTGTTGACAGTGGTGGAAAACGCTGTCTCAGGCCCCGCACTAGAATCTCCCATAAGTGTTCAATTGGGTTGAGATCTGGTGACTGAGACGGCCATTGTATATGGTTTACATCATTTTCATGCTTATCAAACTATTCAGTGACCACTTGTGCCCTGTGGATGGGGGCATTGTTATCATATGAGGGCATAGCCATGGTAGCCAAAATAATGACCAAAATAATGGCCTGCCCAGAATTTGTATACATGACCCTAACCATGATGGAATGATAATTTCTTAACTAACTCAGGAACCACACCTGTGTGGAAGCACCTTCTTTCAATATACGTTGTATCGCTCGTTTAAGTGTTTCCATTATTTTGGCAGTTACCTGTACTTAAGAGGCTATTAAGTTAATATTGATTATTTGTCAGATGAAATCCCATGCTACTTTTTAAGGCACAGTTCTAGGCAGACGAGAGCATCTAATGAAATAATACTGTGTCTAGTCACATATTTCTTTTAAATAGGATACCTAAACGTTTCTGATTCTATCACAGGCTCTTTCTTCCTCTGTCTAACTGTCTTCCAACTACTCTTTTTCTTTATCTCTCACCCAAAATGCTTATTTTCCCTTCTCTGCCACTGATACCTAATTGTACCCAAATGTTCCATTCTACCCCTGAGTAATTTCTCTGTCCTCAAGTGCTCCAGATATAAATGCTTTTGTCAAACTTTGTGTCTGTTGATTCCACTACCACTAACACTGGAATAGTAATTTAATTTCCCTTTGGTAATATTAGGGATCTATTAGGGAGAGGTTAATAATTTATCTCTAGATCATTTGGCATTAATAGTTCAAGTGAGATCATTATAGAATCCTGTTTTGGGACACAGTAGACTCGAGTAGGCTAGAAGTCATTAAGCTGACAACCGATATCTGTGTCTGTCCCCATCCTGATACAGTGAACGATCAGACAGACACATTGATGAGTCTAGGCCTGAGAGGAATCCTATTGGAGACCCATAGGGTATGTTCTGGTCTCATTTAAAGTCAAAAAAGATCACGCAACTCTCTCAACAAAATGTGAATTCTGCATTGTGGCACAGATCCCACGGGGGGCCAGTATGAAAAATGTATGCACTCACTAACTGTAAGTTGCTCCGGTTTATGAAAAGATCCAGGCCTCAATACTCACCCCTACCCGCCCTCTCTCGCCCACTCTCCCTCTCTTTCATTTGTTCTCTCCCTCTTCTCTTTCTCTTTCCCTGCGTTCCCCATTACAGGAGTCCTATTCCCTAATACCAGCGCTCAGTAGTGAACAAGGCTGCGCTTCTGTAAGTGGACAGAATCAGTGAAGCCTGTGGTTCATCATAATTGATGGACGTGCCTGCAATAGGACTGAGGCTTATATAAATCACACATCCTATTGAGTGAGAGACTGAGTGAGGTTATGAAGACCCGTGAAACACAACTGACTGGGTGTTGGGATTTGAGATGTAAAAAATTTCATATGAGGTGACAGTACAGAATGTCACCTTTTATTTTAGGGTATTTTCATATATATCAGATTTATCATTTAGAAATGAATGCTTTATTTACATTTACATTTTAGTCATTTAGCAGACGCTCTTATCCAGAGCGACTTACAGGAGCAATTCTAGTCCCCCCCATTTGAAAATGTAATGGGTTTTGGACAAATTTCACTTATAGTGTATTAAAGTAGTCAAAAGTGTAGTATTTGGTCCCATATTTCTTGCACACAATGACTACATCAAGCTTGTAGCTCTACAAACTTGTTGGACGCATTTACAGCTTAATTTGGTTGTGTTTCAGATTATGTTTTGTCCAATAAGAAGTGAATAATGTATTGTGTTATTTTGGAGTCACTTTTATTGTAAGTAAGAATAGAAGATGTTTGTGAACACCTCTACATGAATGTGGATGTTAATCATGAGTGAATCGTGAATGATGATGAGTGAACAAGTTACAGATGGACAAAGATCATCTCCCCCATTATTGGTCATGGTGAGAGGATAGCATGCTTTTTTTGTAGCCTCTGTAACATTCTCACTCATCCATATTCATGAGTCATTCATGATTTTTCTTAATCATTGCATTAACCAGATTTATTTCGAAATGTTCAGAAACATCTTATCTACTCACTTAGAAAGAACATTACTCCAGTCATCATTCACCATTCAGTTCCTATTGGAACCCGAAACACAATCAAAACAAACTGCAAATGCATCCAACGAGTTTGTAGTCACACGCTTGATGTAGTCATTGTAGGCTAGGAATATGGGACCAAATACTACACTTTTCACTACTTTATTCATTGACTATAAGTGAAATTTGTCCAAATGCTTATGACGTGTTCAAATGAGGGGACTAGATATATAAGGTGCTTTAATTTACAGTACATTCTGTACTGTCACCTCATATGAAACATATACATGCATGTGTCCAAATACATACGTAGTGGTGATATCAGCAGTACTGACTGAGTAGTGATGTATGTCAACCTGGTACAGCCTAATACTTGTACTGTACTATGTGATGGCCTCCACTGCGGTAGTCCCAGCACCCGTTATCGTCACACCATAGGCTCTAACCCCTTAATCAACACCTGTCAACGTACAAACAACACATCTGAAATACACTGATAGCAGCACTGCTATAAAGTTAAGGTACAATCAGCGTGTTTGTGTGCATGCGTGTGTGTTTGTGTGTCAGTGTGTGCATGTGCGCGTGTGTCTGTGTCTGTGTGTGTATGCATGCAGTTGTGTGTGTGTGTGTGTGTACATGTCTGCTTGCATGTATGAGCAGGTCTTGCTTAGTTGTGTGTGTGCCTCTGTGTTTTAGCTGACGTGGGTCTGGGGGAAAATTACGAAGAATTGAGTGGAGAATGATGGAGTGGAGCCTTCTTCCGTACGGTAGACAGGAACATTGCTCATGTGAGAGAGATGGGGAACAGTGAATAGAGCTCCTGGGGCACACTCAGTCTCAATACTGACTCACCAAGAGGGAGGACTATTGGAGAGTTTTAGGGGGAGAACTACTATGTAGTCTTTCACATTTGTGCTCTGATCTCCTCTGAATCAATGAAGCATGTCTGCCCCTGACAATCCAACACATGATGTGCTTTTCCCATCATACTGAACCCATTCCAACATACACACAAGAAAAAACCCACATTCACAAAGCAATAAATAATAATATGATGATAATAATCAATCTGAATCCAATTGGATCCAGCCCCAAATCCCTGGCCCTTTGCCACTGTGCTGTGGACATGGCACAGCCAACATTTCAATAGAATATTAACCC